CATAGATGTTGCTTTGTATTCAATTTTGAGTACTTAGTTTAATTCTTAGTTTAGTTCTCGTTTTAGTTGACTCTATAATCCTTGGACTCATTCATTATCGAGCTTATCGTCGATTTAGGTATTCCCATGTCATCAAATATTTACTAAATCAGTTTCAGTGATGTCATTCCATTTCATATCATACCAGTATTTTAGACTTAGAGTATTCACCTGGGTTCTGGGTATTTACGTATTTACCTAAATGGCAAGCCAAGATTAGGTACCTAACTCGGTACCTAACTTAGTAGGTATCTAGGTGACTAAGTTATTGACTTATTTAATTACATGTTAGGCAGAATGATCAACTAAGCCTGTAGTAGTGTAGAGATAGTTAGATAATTACAACAGAAGTTCTTCTGCTAGGGAAATAAAAATGTGATTGATGAAGGGCCGAGGACTACCTATTAGACCAGTCTAGGTCTTATTCTGGCCCATGATTACACCTTGATTTTCCTAGGTACATACATAATAGGTACATAACATATTAATAAAGATAAGTTGGTCGGTATATAATAACAAGCAAGGGTACAAGAGTCGTGAAAGGTGAAAGTGAATAATTATTGTCTCAGTTACAGTCGAGGGGGAAACAACTACCCAAATTGTGTACACCATATTTAAATATCTGGTACTTAAATTCAGTAAAAAAGTAATTAAAATACTTAAAATACTTAAAACTAGTACTTAAGGTACTCAAAGTAATAAACAGGTACTAAAAGTACTTAAAGTTTAATGAAGAGTATTTAAAAATATTTAAGAGTACTAAATGTACTAAAAAGTATTTAATGTACTTAAAAGTAATTAAATTAGGAATAGCACATACTAAAAATACTAAATGATAGATCTAATATTATTCAGTACCTATTTAAGTAATTGAAGGTATAATAATAGTGATAATTTCTGTTTTATGTTGATCGAGTTGGTTGAATGTTGATTTCTACAGTTTTTTGTGCTTTTGTCTCCTCCTTTTGAGTTATAGACGTTTCAGAAACGAATCTGCTCCCGTTTTCAAAGTTATCCCATGGACACTTTCCAGTGAGGAGAGACTAATGACAAAACACAGTGAAAATTTGCAATGAGAAGATGTTCTATTTTAATCTTGATAACAATAGCCGATTCATTCTTGAAACGTTCAAAGGAAAAGGAGGAAAGAAAATCCCAATAAATCTAGAGAAATTAGGATATTTTTATAATGCTGTCTGTGATTATTATGGACGGTTAAGGTGCTACTTACTACAAATAATAATTCCAATTTTTGGCTATCCTCTGTTTAATATCACATATTCGAACGAAAACAAAACAAAAAATCAGGTACTGAACCTATAAAACGGCTAATAAAATAAACACAAATCTCATCAGGAACTTAAAATATCACACAACATAGGAGGTAGGTACATGTAAATTTTAAAATAATGTCCTCTTAATTTCTTTATATTTCTTATCAATTATTAATTTTGTAGTCCTATCAATATTAAAAGGATATGTGCCCTTCAGTTCAACAGGGCCATGAAAAACATACCGTTCCTCTACAGTTTGAATGTCTTCTGACTGTGGCCAAATATATTTGTCCAAGTCGTATTTGAGAAATTTAATTACCAACCCATTGTTGGTAATTTCTAAAATTCTTCCAATATACCAATTCTCTTTGTATGCAACGGAATAATATTTCTCGGGAAAAAACACGTCTCCTGTTTCTTCCGGACCCGCGGATTTATCGTTTTCCAAGTCGGAAAATGTTTCACTCTCGTCACTATCTGCATAGGAGGGTGATGACAGTGATATACTTCCAGTACTTGTTCCTGATGATCGCCTCTTTCTTTTTTTGGTAGCTGCGGCTTTTTTTGGTAAAACTCGAGACAAAACTTCGCTCGCACATTTAGGACCCCTGACTCGCTCTAGTCTGTCAGTACTCAGTCGAGGGTTTTTGTTGTCCAAGAGCCAACAGAGAGTGCCTTTCTTAACAGTAATTTCTTTCGTGTTATTATATATAGTCACATAACATCTTTCATTCTTCGTGCGACTAGAGTAATCAACCAAATTGAGATTAACATCCTTCAATTCTTTCAGCAACACATCATCCTCAGGCGAGCCCTCGTGGTGATCATCAGAATACTCTGAAAGGAGTATATAAGTGAGCGCTTTGTATGAACGAAAACTTATACAGGGTGGCCCAATTAAAAAAGTCCACCTAATATATGTAAATGGAACACAACTAGGCACCTGTAAAATCATAAAAAAACGCCACCAATTTAGTTTTTCGCAGTTGAATATTATTTCAAGTCTTTGTTTTCACCGATACTTCCAACATGTTTTTACGTTCATTTCGACACAGAACGAAAAAAATCAGCGTGTTTGTCATAGTATTGAAATACCCTCAGAAATACCTTTCAAAATTATGTGCCATTTTAGATTCTTGAGAGGTTGCAACCCCGTTCATGGGAATAATAACATATATATTCACGATCGGAAGAAGTCCCCCTTGGATGCAAAATCGACCTGTATCGGGGTACGGAAAAACCCTCGGAAAAAACTCCATTGAAAATATTTCAGATGAACTGTTTCAGTAGTGTTTTTCTGTAGCCACGGGGAATCATAAAATTCTCACAAGAATTGAAAAATATGCCATAATATTTTTTTCTAGTCTGAACATCATCTATATCTATGATTTTTGGTAGAGTTTCCCTAGCAAATATTTCTATTTCATGTATATCACTTTCCGAAATGTTCGCTAATGCCACTTTATTATCATATCCATTCATAATCAGGAGACTAGTCATAAACTCTGGCAATTGAATCCCAAACTCCTTCTGAATGTGACGCCACATTTCTTGAGACATTTCTAAAAAGGCAGAGAAAGTTTTGATTGATGCTTTGTTTTTGTTTCTCGGATTTCTATTTCTAACTGTGCATATTTATGAATTTCAATCATGATGTTCAACCCCTAAAATCCCCATATACAACCCCTAAAATCCCCATTTACCACCTTTGAATCGAATCGGAACATAAATAACATAAGTTGTCCGCCATCTTAGATCCGCCATCTTGAATTCAATTTTGTCAAAAACAGCAAAAACTTCCAACCCGAAAAATCCTCACATACCAAATTTGAATAGAATCTGACCATAATCACAAAAATCGATCGTCCCCCATAATAGAGTCGACACCTTGGAATTATTATGAATTTTGACAAAAAAGTACAATTTTCGAGATAATCTACAACCCCAAAAACCTCCTGTATCAAATTTGAAACGAACCGGACTATAAACTCGAAACTCGTCCGCCACGAGTCCGCCATCTTGTATTTATAAATTTCGAAAGAAGAATCATAATCTCCGACCCAAAAAACCCCCGTATACCGATTTTGAATAGAATCGGATCATAAAACAAAACTGGTCCGCCATATTGGAGCCGCCATCTTGATTTTTTCATTTGTGATGAAAGAATCATAATCTTCGATCCTGAAACCCCTCGTATACCAATTTTGAATAGAATCAAATCATAATTACAAATTTCGTCTGCCATATTGGGGCCGCCATCTTGAATTTTTAAATTTTGACAAAAGAACCATGATTTCCGACCCTGAAAACCCCCATATACCAATTTTGAATAGAATCGGATCATAATTACAAAACTCGTCCGCCATATTGGGGCCGCCATCTTGAATTTTTCATTTTTGACAAAAGGATCATTACTTCCTTCCCCGAAATCCCCCAGATAGCAATTTTGAATAGAATCGGATCATAATTACAAAACTTGTCCGCCATATTGAAGCCGCCATTGTTTTTTTTCTAAAACAAAAATTTCATAATGCATTGTCACCGGAATCATGAACACCTGCAAAATTTCAAATCAATCAGACGATTAGAAGTGGTCTAAAAGTTGGTTACAAGATCTGACCGTGACATTTTTCTTAGTTTTCTTCAACTCAATGAGTTAATAAGCATGGTAAAAAAAACGTGTGTCAAATTGTGGGTAAGGAATCTGAAATTGATCTAATGTTGCACCTACATAACATAACTGTAAAACTGTATCACTTACCTTCAGTATCTCCTAACCCCATCATTTTAATTTGAACTCTTTCTATTATGAAAACAAATATTTTGTATTGCGAAAATAACGCGAACGCGTGCTCACTGATAAATGTCCAGCGACGGAATGCGGGAATGAAACCAAATTGTTTATTGTTCATCGGTGCATGGGTCGTTAAGGGCGCCAATGCAGTCGGGAAGTTTCGGGTCGAGTATTATCTCCGGTAATTAAATATTAAATTTTCAGTACTCATGTACTAAACAGATACTTAAAGTACTGAACTCGGTACTAAAGAAACTTAAAGAATAAATTTTGGTACTTAAAATACTTAAACTGGTACTAAAAATACTTAAATGTACTTAAAGGTAATTAAAATACTGAAGATGTATTTAAATTAATTATTTTAGTACTGAAGTACTTAAAAGCGTATTAAATTGTACTTAATGTATTAAAAATTATACTTAAATACTTAAAATTCCATGGTGTACACCACTTAAAAGAGTTGTTTCCCCCTCGGTTACAGTTCACAAAATATGTCATATTATTGTACTTACAAGCAAAATGTCTCGTGACAAAAACAATATCTTCTACATGATCGTAATACCCTGTAATACCTGTGTTTACAAAATGTAAACACAGGCTAGTACCTGCGCTTTTGCCAATACGTAACTGTAAAATCAAGTGTCCGTTTCTCACATTATTTCAATACCTGCCCAAAATACGACCGAGGTTTTGAATAGAATCATTAAACTCAGTCACCTTTTCAGCACTAATTACCCAGTTAATTACCTAGCATTCAATATGAGGCATTCATATACCTTCCAGTCAATCCAGCATCAGCGGAGTAAAAAAATTCCATCCTACGGATGACTGAAACATTCGAATACCGATATACCGACATTACAATAAGATGGAAAAGGTAGGTAGATACTTACTTTTTCGTACATAGTTTATATCCATCATAGTTCCTGATCCACACGAATACCCCTGGAATCACTTCGGCGCGATGAAATACACCCACTTTTGCACCATTTATAATTGAAAACACAAAATCGAACACCAAATAAACGAAGAACGTCCGCGACAAAGCTAATGATCACCCGATGATGCACACGAACCGAACGAGGAAAGTGCAGAAGCAGAGCAAGAGCAGATGGTATGCATGTCGAACAGAAAGAGGTCGTAGCGCCCTCTAGTAGCCGGAATGTCATTCCCAGCCGTCACCGATCCACAATCTACCTGCCCGTACAGGGTGGTTCCATCTTGAAGGGCATTCGTCAAGGTTGCGCCATAGCGCCATCGTCGTCTTTTTCTCGAGACTTTCTTTTCTACGACTTGATAACTATAACGTAATGTCAAATTTAATGTGATTTTTGATAAGACTTCTATAATGAACCTTCATTATAAATGGCATCCATTCGAATCGATACCACTGAAAGCAAAGTTCAAATTCTCACACTTCTGCTTGCAGGGTATTTCAGTTGAGACTCTCACCGCAGAAGCGTTGGCGTCGATGCAAAGTGAGGGAACTATTGCTGTTATCGGTATTTTTCATATACAGTGTGTTTGATTTTGATAATCACCTCTCTTATTCTCGGAAACAAAGTAAGAGAAGGAAAATATCCAGATGCGACTCTGAAACACTTATATAAGTACCAAAGTACCCATTATAAATAATCAATTAGAAACTGTAAGTATATACAAGACGTATTTTGTATACTGGCATCTTATTATTGGAAAACGGTAAATTCTTTAGCTACGAAATTGTTTAAATTGAAAATCAAAGCACAGCACATTGACGCGAATTTGAAACAGAGGGAAGAAACTTTCGTGTACACGATCATTTTCAAAAATGGATGAGGCACAAAAAGAAAAAAAGCAGCTACCTATATATTTCGGTTTTGCCCGTATAAGTTTTGTAAACGGTTCCTGATAGGTATTTTCGATATGGTAACATTTTATAGTTTCATATTGATCACTGCGTAATAAAACAGGCAACGTTTGCAGATTTGTCTGAAAATCTGTACTGATATATGGGGTTTGTGAGGTCGAGAAATACGAATCATAATACCAAATAGGTATAGTTTATTGTTATTAAAAATTTAGAATTTCAAGCATTTCTCATTCATCTCGCCTGAAAATGTATCAAATCACACACTTTCATGAGTTTTTTTTTTGAAAATGAGAAAATGTTTGTTTTAGTATATACAGGGTGTCTCAAAATTAGGCTGCCAAATTTCATCAGCGAATTTTACGTCCAAAAATAGAAAGAAAACTCTCTATGAATATGAGTAGAGAAATGTTTCCTAAGGATCGAAAGGGGGCTCTTGAGGTTGATATTTCCGAGTATTTCTTGAGTAGGTATTTCCGAAACTCCATATATAGTTCGGTCATATTAGAAAAAATAGAAAAAATAATTGATAAAACGCTATAAGTTGGTGGAAACATTAACCTTGGCCTACTGTTGATTATACCAAAAGTCCGGACCAATACAAGCACGGCTCGATCCGCCATCTTGGAAAAAAAGCACACTAATCCAGTTTTTCTCTCATATCTCAGTTATTACTGATTCTATCGTATTGAAAGTCATTACAAAAAATTAAGCTAATTGAATTCTACATACAAAAGGTTGAGAACATTTCTTTCCTATTTTCCATATTTCTTCTGTTATACACTGTTGAATATTTGGATATTTGTATTCATTGCCGAAAAAAATACACTCTGTATAGAATTTGTGAGAAATGATGTAATTTGAAGTGATTAATTGAAAACTTATATAATATTTCCTTGTGTATACAAAAATTTTTCATTCGAACAAGTACGACTTATATAGAAAAAAAAAATTGTCCTGCGAGCAGATGACTGAGGTACTGCACATCAATGATCATCATCATCTCTGTCCTCCGCATCAAACACGAAAAAGTTTTCATCTTCATGATCTATCTCCTTTTCAGTATCACACGAAGTATCTGAATTCATACATGCTACCATGGCAGTACCCACACATGGCTGCACAGTTCAGTCCTGCTTTTCTACACCCGCAGGAGGAAGTGCATCCTATTTCACAATTGCATGATATCAACCTCAGCAATGAATCCAAGGCTGGTGCCTTCATTGTGTGACAAGTTTCTCATTACCACGCCATTTTTGTATCTGGTAATACACACGAAAAGAGTGTTGTTTTGCTGCTGCAGCTGTGGGAGGCAACGAAGCCAAATTCAATTTGTTTTTATATATACGCTGACTTCTTGAAGATATTGAAACGATGTTCATTCAAAGAGGTATCAGTCACAGGTGCACCATACATAGCCAAGAAAAATCGTTCCCCAGCTCGTGTTATTCGATTTTGCCCCTTCCTGGTTTCAGAAAATAAATATTCCGTTCTTGTGGAGCTAAAGCAGTGAGTAGAACGAGCAAATCTATATCCTCACCAACAATCACAGCTTTTTCTTTGAATGATACTTCTATCGCTGTTGTGATGATTAGAGTATCGGCATCATCTTTGGCATGTTTGATAGTGAATCCTCCAGCCTCGAATCTCTTCGATAACATCGAAATCAATCGAGTTTTATTCTTTCCATTGGCCAGAAATTTTTCTTGTGAGACAGTGGCACAATTGTCTCATCGAAAAGTATATCTACGCTAGTATTTTTCGCAGACCGCAAGCATTGTTCCGCTGTTTTAATGTTCGAAGGGTTGCTGCTGTTCCTAATTATTTCCTCACATTGTTCACGTATGTTTGGCAAATTGATTGATATATCTGATTTTGATGCCAAATGACACGGTGCACGAGATACATATCTGCCATATTCCGCATACCTGATTCGTTGAATAAAGAAAGGGGGTATGGTGCCAGTTCGTATTCAATACGGATAATTGTTCATAATCTTTTTTAGCAATGATGATTCTTTGAAATAGCATCAGAGGATCAACTGGTACTATCACGCCGATGATTTTAATAGCAGAGTTGAGAGTTACTATAGAGGATGAACTTTATCAGCACGCTTAAACTTCACGTCTCCGAAATTGTTTCCTATTATTTTCTTAATACCGTATACACCATTTTCAAGAGCATTGTAGCAATCGATAGTACTATCTCCAACAACTTCGGTATTTATTGAGAAAATTTTATCTGAATTCGAAAAAGGATCATGAGAAAATAGCCAGTGCTGCAACCGTTTCACATCCTCGTCATCTCGTTCTTCTCGTGACTCCCTTGAATCGGCATGCTGCTCGCTACTAATGAAAGATACATCGCAAAATTGTTCTTACCTGTCACAGTTGTCCAGAAGAGCAGGCATTGCCAGAATCCATTAGCCAAGAATACTGTTTTTGAAGCCCCGACATGTTAGACCATCAGTGGATTTCTTGCTTCTCATCAAAGTTTGCTCAATAACCATGCCTGACCAAGTTCCAGACCAAAATTTGTCGGTTCGTCTGATTGTGAAAAATCAACAAATTTACGGTATTCTTCAATATCCATATGATTTTTCGAATGTACCATATCTTGAAGATAGAGATGGCAGGCTTTAGCGTGAAGGATGTGGCCAGCATGAAAAAAAGACAGCATATTTTGTATATGACCTGCAAATGAGTTGTTGGAAGTAGTGGAAGTGCAAGTGCAAGTGCAGACATGTGCACACGTGTCAGGACTTTATGACCTTATTGACCCCTTCTCTTTTTCTCTCCTTGTGTCGTCACAGAGTAGGCAGGAGTATTAGTATAGGACAAATCATTCTAAATTATTCAATGGAACATTGTAATTCCGAAAATTTTCGTAAAATGGAGAATAATGAACATCATTTATATATTCATTGGTTATTTGACACAAAAGTATCGATATTATAAAAAAAGTTAATGAAACCTTTTTCATAGAGAATTTGAAGATCTTGAATTTTTATCATAACCTTTGATAAGATAGGATGGACGGTTACGGAAATATGATGGAAAAACTAAATCAGTGTACCTTTTTTCCAAGATGGCGGACCGAGCCGTGCTGATACGGGTCCGGACTTTGAGAACTGTCAATAGTGAGCCAAGATGACGGTCTCCACCAATTTTTAGATTTTTATCAATTATTTTTTCTATTCAGGCTAATTGGATCTTATTTGATTGGCCTAATAATAAGCTTAAAGTCTGTAAAAATCAGCGATTTCCGGAAAACGAGAAAAAAATATACTTGGATCTCAAATCTGAATATAAAGAACTCATAAAAATGAAGAGAAGAGATTATGAAACTCAAATAATCCAGAAGTTTTCTAATTTGCGTAATCCCAGAGAATTTTGGCTAGCTGTCAAACAATTCAGAAATAATTTTAGACCTAAAGGACTACCTGTAGAGGTTTGGGAAACTTTTTATGATAATATTTATCCTTGCAGACAAATTCCTACTCATAATTTTTATGATGTCACTCACCCCTTTCTTGATACTCCATTCACACCTGATGAACTTTATAATGTACTTGACAAATGTAAAACAGATAAGTCTCCCGGATTAGATGGTATACCTTACGAATTCTATAAAAACCTCCCCAATAACTGGATATTATATTTAACGTCTTTATTCAATAATATTTTTGACACAGCTATTATCCCGAATACATGGTCCAACATCGTACTCACTATGCTGCACAAAGGGGGAGTGGGGGACAATCCCGAAAATTTTAGAGGATTGGCATTAGTTAACTGTTGTGCCAAATTATTCACAAGTCTCTTACTCAACAGGTTATCCTCATGGGCAGACGTTTGCCAGGTTTTACCGGAGTCCCAGGCGGGATTTCGTACTGGACGTGGTTGTCTAGACAATGTCTACACTTTGAGCTCTATCATCAATATACATATCAGGATTAAACAACGTAAACTTTTTGCCATTTTTGTAGACTTTAAGAGAGCCTTTGATTCGGTGAAGCATTGCATGTTGTGGTCGAAATTGTTTAATTTGGGTGTATCTTCCAAAATTCTACGTGTACTGAAAACACTTTATTCACAGGCAACTGTACAAGTCAAGGGTTCCGATGGACTTTCTAAGCCCTATAATGTAACAACCGGTGTGTTACAGGGTGAACCGTTGAGCCCACTATTATTTGCTTTGTTCATTGCTGACATTGAAACTTTTTTTTATGA